ACATCTGGGCTTGGGGGAGGGGAGCTCGTGTCCCACACGCGCTGGGCCCCTAGGGAGGCGGGCGGCACGGCCAGGAACTGAGACGGCACAGCTGGTGGAGTGTCCCGAGCTTCCCCTCCCCCGCTGGGACGTCTCCCCAGGCCTGGGTTCCAAGGCTCAGCTCCTCCCTCTTTGTTCTTCAAAGGGGAGGCTGGCTTCCTGGGACCCCCTGGGTCCTGGGTAGGGGGAGTTCCTGGAGGGTTGGGTCTTGGGGGCTTGGGAGTTGGGAAGTAGGAGGACCAGGCCGCCCCCTGGGGGGGGAGGGCAAGGGATGAATCAGGATAGAAGACCCCAAAAAACCCAAAACAAAACAGGACAATCCCCACCCTCACTGGCCAGACGGTCTCGTAGGGGAAACAGTCAGTCACAGGAACATTAAGCAAAACGTATTTGTCAGGTGGTGGTTACGTGCTTTGGAGAAAAGCCAGCAAAGGAGCGGAGAGTGGGAATTGTAATTTCAGAGGGTATGATCAGAGCCTTAGGACTCACTGAGAAGGTGAAATTTAAGAGGTGAGAGCTACACAGGAGTGCCTCGGGGAAGAGCTCTCCAGGCAGACACCAGGCAGGAAAAGTCTTGAGGGACGACATGCCTGGCTTGTCAAGGAGGGGATGGCGGCACCAGACGAGGTTGGCACGGCCAGAGTTGAGATCAGAGAGATAAAGGGGGGGCAGGGCCTGATCACCCAGGACCTTCTAGAAGGTTCCATGGACTTTGTCACGATTCACCCATTTCTGAAGGAGATGAGAGCCCATTGGAGGGCTCTTCCACCCCCCTCCCCCACAACTAGCTTTTTTTGTTTTGTTCTGTTTCTAGCACTTTTAACACTATAGTACAGTTATCAATATCAAAATTAATATAATACCATTATTTAATTCTCCAGTCCATATTCAAATTTCCTAAAGTGTTTCAGGGATGTCCTTATAGCTCTTTTGTCCTGATTCAAGAGCCAGTCCGGGATCACGTGGTTTTGTCTCACTCCTAGGTCCTTTCCGTCTCATTTAATCTGCAAGAATCTTCGCTGTTGATCTTCTCGGTTTTGAAGAGTTCAGGACCATTATTCTGTAGAGTGTCCTTCTGTTTGGCTTGTCGGATGTTTCTTCACGGTTAGAATCAAGTTACAATCACCATAAGTAGTGATCAATGGATTTAGCAAAAAGATTATGTCTTTTTGGCAGGGACATCACCACGGAAGTGACATCAGGTCCTTCTCGGTCTTCCGTGTTGTCATGTAGGAAGACACAGGTCAGTTTGCCTCAATAGTAATACTGTCTTCGGTCACGTGGTTAGATGGTGTTGGCCAGGGCTGTCCGCCGGAACGTTATTACTGGCCCCCTCCCGAGGAGTAATTAATGTAATTTGTGGGAAGATACTTTGAGACTCTTCGCTACTTACGGCCCCATTAAGGTTCACCCTCTACTTGAATATTCATTGATGATTTCTAACTCTATATTTATTAGTTGGCAGTTTACTGTAAAAAGAGCCATCCCCTTCCTTCCCATTTTATTTATTTATACTGATACGAACTTTGGAGTCTTAACTGATTTAAGGAATTATAATCCATCACAATCACTCCTTATTTTAATGCTTGATTTGTCCCAGATTTAGCCAACGGGAGCTCCTTTAGCTGTAACCCCTAGCTGTTATGTCTTTTTTTTTTTTTATAGGTACCCAAAATTCTTTGAACATTACTTTGCTGTGCAACAAAGTGTTCCAAGAGCATCTTATAATTCCCTAACTGAAGCCCTGGAATCAGCCTTTTTTCCTAGGAGCCCTGGTTCATTTTTTTTTTTTTAAGATTTTATTTATTTACTTGACAGAGAGAGAGAGACACAGCGAGAGAGGGAACACAGGCAGGGAGAGTGGGAGAGGGAGAAGCAGGGCTCGATCCTAGGACCCTGGGATCATGACCTGAGCCAAAGGCAGACGCTTAACCGACTAAACCACCCAGGCGCCCCGGCCCTGGTTCATTTTAGAGGAGAATGGTATTTAGTAACCAAGATCTGGTCACTTGTGTGCTTATTGCTATTTGTGTATCATTCCTTCTAGGCTTTCTCAGTGGAAAGAGCTAGGAAATATATATGTATATATGTATGTTTGTTTATGTTTATGTACGTATGTTTATATGTCACTAGTTAAAAACCATGAATTCATATTGCTATCCCATGGGAGATTTTGAAGAGAGGAATGACAGATTCCGATTTATGTTTTGAAAGGATCACTATGCCTAATGTGTTCAGAGTAGACTGCAAAGGAACAAGGAAAAGAAAGGAAGCAAGGAAATAATCTAGGGGCTGTTGTAATAATCTCAGTGAGAGATGTGGGTGGACCAGGGTGTAGTGATGACATGGTGATAAGTAGCCAGGTTTTTAACATGTTTTAAATAAATTCCTGACTGCGTGTGTGTGTGAGAGAGAATCAGGGATGATCCTAAGGTTTTTAGTCTGACCAACTGAAGAAATGGAATTTTCCTTTCCTGAGATAGAAGATCTACAGGTGAAGCTCATTTCAGGGGGAAGCCAGGAGTTGGTTTGGCCATTTTGTTTGTGATCAGATATCACAAACGGAAACGATATTAGATATCCAAGCAGAAATTATAAGTAGATAATAGTATATATGCATCTATAATTCAGGAAAGAGTTGTGGAGCTGGAGATGAACATTTTGGATGTATTTATGTATTATTAGTTGATATTTAAAGAGATCACTAAGGAGTGAGTATAGATAGAGAAGAGGTTGGAAAACTGAGCGGTGGGAACACTTTGACATTCAGAGATCCAGAAGGTGATCATCCAGCAAAGGAGTCTGTGCATGAGCTGCTAATGATGTAGAAGGAATATCAGAGGAGTTAGGGTGTCCCAGAGGGCAAGTGAAGAGAGCGTTTCTAAGGGGAGGGTAAGCATCCATAAGTAGAGATCAATGGATGTAGCAATGCACCGTCCTTCGGTAACCTGTTAACAAGAGCACCTTGAAGAATGGGGTGGGGGGAGGGTGGGCACTTGATTAGAGAGGGTTCAAAGGAGAACGGGAAGATGGAATTGGGGGAGAGTAGGTATATGATAACATGTTTTGCAGAAGAGGGGAACAGAGAGACGGGGTGGGAGCTGAAGGGGGAGGTGTGTGGTGTCAGGGTCGTTTTTGTTGTCCTGCTTGTTCCAAATTGGAATACGTTTCAGTATGTGTGCAGGCTGGTGGGAGTGATCCAGCCAGAGAGGAAAACTGATGGTGCAGGAAGGAGAGCAGGGTCCTTGAGCCCTTGTGGGCCGGGGAATGGGAGATCTAGTAAGTGCAGGGGTTGGCCTTGGTTAGGGGGAAGGTTCGTCTACACCACTGAGGGAAGGGAAGAGCATGTAACCACAGACAGGTAGGCAGTCAGGTAGGTAGGCAGGTGCGATTGCGGATATCGATGGGGCAATCTCTCCAGAATGCCTTATTTTCTCAGTGAACCAGGAAGGCCGAGGGAGGAAGGGACTCGTGGTTCGGGGTGACAAAAGGGATGAAACAGTCGTATGGGAGACTTGCAGGGGGGAAGGATAAGGGGGATGTAAGACGACTGCCGAAGAGCCCTGAGAAGCCATCCGGGTTTGGGGACGTGAACAATTCAAATTAGTAGTTAAGTGACTTTTACAGGACACACCCATGGGAGGAGGCGCAGGTCTGAGCGTAAGGCCAGCAAGGGGGCGCTCGCGGGCTGGTCGCGGGTGGCGGAGGCCCCCAGAATAAATGCGGTATCTTCTCCAAGGGAAGGAAGCGCTAGGAAAACAAATGGCTTTCTCTCTCCAAGGGCAGTCACGCGCGTTCCCAAAAGTACACACGCTGTGAGCAGGATTCGAACCTGCGCGGGGAGACCCCATTGGATTTCGAGTCCAACGCCTTAACCACTCGGCCATCACAGCCGCGTGCGGCTTGGGGCCGGCGCAACTATAGCTGCCTATCAACGGGCCCGCCTCCCGCCGGCCCCGCCCCTCCGCCTCGGGACGTGTGTGCGCGTGCGCCTCGGCCGGGGGGTGGGGGGTGCGGGCCGCAGTCCTGCGGAAGCCACCGCCCTCCCGCTCTCCCTCCCCGCCCACGACAAAATGAGCCCGAGCCCCAGCCCAGGGTCCCACGTCCTCGAGCACAAGGGATGCCCGCGTCACCCCGGTTCGTGAAAGCGAAGCGCGAGTCAGCCTCCGAATTTCCACTAAAAGTGCGCGGGAGCGGAAGCTCCAGGTGGGATTGGCTGGGGAAGAATAAGAATCTTCCGGAAGGTGCCACACGAAGAGCCTTGGGGAAGGTTGGAAGCGCGTTGCCCTTGCAGCAATAATATACCGCCTTCTGCGGGCCCAGGCACCGCTGGGATTCGAACCCAGGATCTCCTGTTTACTAGACAGGCGCTTTAACCAGCTAAGCCACGGCGCCGGCGGAAGAGGTGCTGCGTCTGGAGGTATATCAGCCACTCGCGGGAGTCAGTAAGCGAGAACCGCAAGACAGCGGTCGCCGCGGGTCCTCCGCCCCCTCGGTTCCAAGGTTTTCCCCTCCCTTCCCAGGTCCCGAGCCGGAGGGTTAACGCTCCGCCCCTCCCGTCTCCCACACCTCGGGGGCCCAACTCGACCATGAATGGGTGTTTGACCTCACGTCCCGCAGCCCCCCTGGACTGGGCCCTCTCCTGCGTGGGGACACGGTGACGGAGCAGCTGAACACCCTCACCGGCTTCGGGGCCCCCGCAGGCTGGGCCGGCTCTCCGGCCGCCCCCCGCCCTGCTTCTCACGACACACCCCGCTGACGCCAGGTGACAGGGCCCCCCCGTCCGAGGTAGGTGGAGATTTTACGGGCCCGGCAAGGCCCTTCCGCCGGAAAGGGTGTGCGGAGCAGACGGCTGGGGGGCGCCAGGGGAGTGGTCCTCACGCTCACTACAGCCTCCCTGGAAGCGGGGCCACACCTCCCCACAACGAGCTCCCTACCCCCAACCAACACAAAGTCCTGGGTGTTTTTGTTTTTTTTTTCTCTTTGTATTAAAAAATAACAACAGACACAATATCAAAAACACATATGCCATCGGTAGAGGGTACAGCTGAGAACACCTGGGTCCCACCTGAGGGGCAGCACCAGGGACTCCATGGTCCACCAACCTCCCCCACCCCGGAGCAGCTAGGGGTTTGGACCGCTGGCCCTCTCCCTCCCCTCTAGGGAGGAGGTAGGAGAAGGGGCTGTCTCCCCCAATAAATAAGTGCAGCCCCAACCCTCAGGGACCGGGACTCGGGCTGAGCCGGGACTTGGAGAGACCACTTGAGCAGCTTGTCAGCAACCTTGTCCGAGGGAAGGAAGAGCTCCTCACCAGAGGTGGGAGACGCGGCTTCTCTGGGCTGGGCTGACGAATCCCCCCGCCCCGTCTCTACCCTCAGAAGCAGGAGGCAGCCCCTGGATCCTGGGCTGCTGATGGGGGTCCCGCCCCCTACGCGGGAGAAGCTGGGGCAGTTTCCTATTGGTTGGTCCAGCCACATCTGAGTTCTGAGAGGTGGAACACGGGAGAAGGAAGCTTCTCATGCACTGCCGGAGGGGGCCCCCAAACGTGGTCTAGCTGGTGCCATTTTCTGTTGCGGCTAAGGCTGGACTGGGTGAGCTCCCACCTTGTTCCTCCTCCTCCATGGCCAGGTCCTGAGAGCTGGAGACCTTGGTCCCAGCTTGAGCCTGGGCCTCTTCTCCGCCCTCACCTTCAGCACCCCCGCCCCCACCCTCGCCTCCGCCCTCCTCCATAGGCTCCAGTCCCAGTCCATCCAGTTCCGAGAAGAGGGGGTCATCCGGGTGGCCGGGGTCTTGGGTGCTACTACCGCAATCCACACACGCCTTGGAGGGAGAAAGGGGACGAGTGGGGCGAGGTTCTCCCTGCTACCCTGCCACCCCCGCTCCCCTTGTGTCTCCCCCCACCCCCCAGGATAACTTCCCAAAATATCCTCCCAAAGAAAGACTCGTCACAGATGCACGCGGGCCAACGAGATTGGAAAGTGTACCGTACCCTGTATCTAGACCCCACTGGGACACGGTCCCAATGTCCGTCACAGAGGATCCGCCCAGAAGGCGTCTACAAAGACTCGTGGGGTTAAATGCTGTCCAACCCACCAGCAAACTGTGCAACCATCATCCTTCAGAATGAGCCACCCGAGGACAAGGAGGGGATCCGCTCCCCCCCGCCCCCGCCCCCGCCCCAATCCTCTCTTCTCCCTCGGGGCCCAGAGGCCCGGTCTCTCACCATCACATCGAGGGCCCGAGGCAGCTGACCCTTCCGGACCCAGGAATGCACGGCACCCAGTTCCCTGCGCTGGTCCTCTGAGAACCGAGGCTGCTGCTTCTGCATGGCCCGGAGCCGCTCCCGGTCCTGCTTCAGCACAGAGGCCATGTCCCTGCCCGGGGAAGGGGTTCCGACGGCAGAGGCTGGGAGCCGGGGCCAGAGCCCAGCGGCTACTGTCCTCCCCATCCACGGCCTCCCGCTCCTCCTCTCAACCAGGGCTCTGGGCGTTCGGGGCTTCCGAGACCAGGAAAGCTTGTGCCCAGCCTGGCTGTGCCAGGGCAGAGCCAGCCCCCCCACCCCGAAAAGAAAACCCCAAGCTCGGTGGGAAGTGCGGGTGGACCAGCACACCTCCCTCCGACGGGGGGGCAGCGGGGGCCTCCGAACCTGCTCACCTGGACGGCACCTGGTAGGTCATCATGACGCGCTGGTCGGCATTGGCCATTAGCAGCCAGATGGGATCCTGGAGCACGTACTTAATGACCTGGTCCCCGGGCTCAGCCCCGGCCTGGGCAGCCCCGGCTTCGGCCTCCGAAGAGTCGATGCTGCCGAAGTACTTGCTCGTGTGGCTGCTCTGACTGCTGCCTGCGAAGCAGGGGGCAGGGGGGCCCCAGAGTCAGGCCACTGCCCCCCCCAGGGCCTCCCACGCCCTCCCTCAAGGCCATGTCTGCAGCCCACTGGGCCCAGGCTGCTCAGCTAAGGGCGGGGGGCAGGGAGGGGGGGCTGGCCTCCCAACATGCCCCGTCAGGGTCGTACCCTGGGGGGCCCGGGGGTGGGGGGCACTCACGTGTGATGCTGGCTGAAGTGCTGCCTCCCTCATGGGAGCCTGAACCGGACCCAGAGCCCAGGCCGGAGCCTAGGGAGCCTGAGGCGGCGGAGCCCGTGCCGGACCGAGAGTCCTCCTGTAGCAGCAACTCCAGCAGGTCACTGGAGCCCGACAGCGCGTCCTGGTTGGAGGACTCTGTCACCTCCACCTGTGGGGGGGCAAGGGGAACAGGGCGGGATTAAGGGATCAACAGCCAGGCCTCGTGTCAACTGCTTCCACTGGCTGGGGGGACCCACCTAACCCCAGTGGTCTCTGTCCCCACTCCACGACAGTGGGGGCCGGGACAAGAGAGGGGAGGAGAGGAGGGGTGGGACGCCAGGCCCGTCCCAGGAGGCCGATGCGCCCCCCGAAGTTCTGGGGATGTGTCCTCCCCACCTGTCAGACAGACAGGATTGTCCCCACTCCGCGGATGAGGCGGCGGGTTTCTGCCTCATTCAGAAACTCAGCTGGGGCCCCCCCACCCCACGACACCATCTTCTGGAGGGCACGGGGCGGGGAGGAGCGTGAGCAGGAAGAGCAGCAAGGGGAAGGGGGGGCTGTGTGGGGGCTGCTAAGAGGATGCAGGGGATCCGTGCTCACCAATCTGGCCTCTGGCTCAGCGGCCTCCTCACTGGGAGGCGGGGGCCCAGCACTGATCCCAGTGCCCCCTGCAACAGCACCCCCTTCAACACGGGGGGGCTCCTCAAGCTGCAGCAGATTCAGCTGGAGCGGGGAGCTGCATCTCGAGTTGAAGAGCGAAGAGTCCGGCCCGCGGGGAGGGCTGGGGGGCGGCGGGGGCAGGGACGGAGAAGGGGAGTGGGAGGCGGGGGTAGGAGGCCCTTCGGCGGGGGTCTGGGCTACCCCATAGGAATAGCTGGGTGGGGCGGGGAACAGATAGTTAGGGAGCACCAAGGCTACCATGGGGGTCACCAGCGGGGCAGGGAAAGCTGCAGGGGGCCCAGCTGTGGGGGCAGAGGGGAGAGGCTGCGGGCCTCCTCGCGGGGAGAACATTGGGAGAGGGTAGGACTGGACCACAGCTGGGAAGGGACTAGTGGCTGGTGGGGGGGGCCAGGGGGCCGAGGGTGACACAGGCGATGGGTGGGAGCCATAGCAGGGGGCTTCGGCCCGGGGGGTCTGGTGGTGGCGGGAGCGCTTGGCTTTGGATCGGCAGTGGTGTCGGCGACTGGGGGGTGCGGGGCCGTGGTGGCAGCCTGTGGGGAGAGACGAGGGTTAGCGAGGGCCTCAACCTGGGGGTGAGCGTCCCTGCCCCGCCCCCCACGCTGCCCTGCCACTATGACCCAGGGCAGGGCAGGAGAAGGCCCCGGAGAGAACTGGGCCTCCAGGCTGCCCAGATCAAGGGGGGCCTCTTAGGAGGAGAGAGAACCTTCAGGGAAGAATCACAGGAGGCAGGGCCAGGGGGGTTTATTGCACAAGGAGCCAGGACAGGTAAAGTTACAAATGGGGCGGAGCTGGGGGCGCACAGAAGGCGGGGCACGGTGGCCGATGGGAGGAAGCAGGGTGGGTCCGAGGACGAGCGGGCAGGCGGCTCCGGTCCCTCCACCAGACTCCCACAGCCTGGGCGCTCCTCCTGCAGGTCGAGGCCGCGCTCGGCCTAGATCGAGCGACGAGGTGGGTGGGAGAGCCCAGTCCTGAGTCCTGAGTCCTGCGTCCTGCAGGGAGCCTCTCTCAGGCACCTGGAGGGCGGACATCCTGCCCTTGAAGCCCCGACCCCAGCGGGAGTTGTCCCGGCTCGCCTGGCCCCTGTTCGGCCAGGAGTCTATACGGGTCTCTTAACCGGCGACACCTCGGTCGGAAGCAGCCGTACTTGAGCCCCGGCCCCCAAGCTGGGCTTCAAACAGCTTACCTGGAACCGAGCACCTCCGCCTGCCTGTCTCAGTGCCAGCCCCCCAGGCTGCCCTCCTCTGGCTGCAGCCCGGAACCCTGGCCTACTGGGGAGAGTCTAGCCAGGGGCCTGTCCCTACGCACAGCCCTGGTGGTGGAGGCCGCCCCAGCCTGGGTCCCTGCAGCAGGAACCTCTCCCTCAAGCACCCCCTGCCCCCACCCCCCTCCCCGGACAGTCTGGTCCTGGCCTGGGCAGAGGACAAAGCTCAGGGATGTCCCGGGTGGCTACCTCGCTCGCCAGGGGCCAGGGGGGCCGGGGAGGAGCCGTCGAGCGCCCGCAGTCGGCTGAGGTCTCGGAAGCGGCTGAGGAAGGCCTGCTCCTCCTTCTGTGTGTGCAGGGACAGCACGGCCTTGGTCAGGCCCACCGGGCGGTAGGCGTCTGGGGCAGGGTCGGGGGCTACCGTGGGGCTGGGGGCTGGGCTGGCGGCTGGGCCTGGAGCCAGGCCAGGCAGGTCCTCCATCATGATGATGTCTGAGAAAGGGGAGACAGGGGGTGGGGGGGGTCATTGGGATCCCCTCAGGGGTTCCCACAGCCACACCACACCCTGCCCCTCCAGCAGCCCAGCCTGGGCCCTGGGTGCATCTCCGGGCCTCCTCCCCGCTGAGACCTGGTTCTGGGCCCTCTTCCCATCCCCCGGGTGAGAGAGGATACTGAGTCCCCTCCAGCGACAGTACCCCAGGATGACCCCCTAGGACTGTCCTGGGAAGGCAAGCTCAGTCGTCGCCCTCCCCTCACACACTCTCCAGGACAATGCCCAAAGCCCCTTTGCGGGGTTTTTCCGACACTCTGTGGTCCGCACCTGGGGCTTGAACCCCTCCCCACCCCAGGCTCTGTGTGCCTGCTGACAGGAAGAACAGGAAAAACAAGGCGCCAGAGGCTGGAGGGATGGACAGCAAGAGGCAACAGCCCCGAGCTAGGATGGGGGCCTCTTTCTCTCCCCGAAGGGCCAGAGGGAAGGAAAAGGCAGGGGGAGGGAGCGGTGGCTGCGGCACCGAGTGGAACCCCCTCACTGCGCGCCCGTACCCGACTCCGGGGGCTTCTTGTCTCCCACATGGACGATGGTAGAGCTGAAGCTACACTGGCTGGTGACGGACACCACGCTCTCTGCCTTATTGGCCAGGGCGAGCGGGCTCAGGGTGCCTGCCACCACTGGCTCCTTCTGAGGGCCGGCCCCCTCCCCACGCAGCACCACCGATGGATCTGTGCGGAGAGACGGCGCCAGTTACCACCGGGAGGTCCCTGGGGGGGAGGGGGGGGCCTGCCAGGAGTCTGCAAATCAGAAGGCCTGGAGGGGAACAGGGCAGAGTAAGGTGGGGGCCCCAAAGGCAGAAGTGTGGAGACGGGGCCAGTGGGCCAGGACGGGACCCGCCGGGTCTTTACCTTTCTTGGCCCCCAAAGGGACCGGACCCGTCCTCTGCTTGTCCTCGTCCGAGGCCGAGGATGTGGTGCAGGAGGAAGAGGCACACTTCCGCTTGGTCGTGCTGGGGATGTTGCAGCTCTCCAGGTACCTGGCGGGGGACCAGAGGACATGAGGGCAGGGCCTGGGGTGGGGTGGGGCCGGGCCCAAGTGGGAGACGGCTCCCCGGTGGCCTTACCTGAGGATGCTGTCCAGGCAGTTGATCTGCTGGTAGGAACAACTGGAGGCTTCTTTCCTCTCAGCCTCATCCGGGGTCAGGGTGAGTGGGGCCTGGACGGGAGCAGGGACCACTTCCAGTTCTGGGTCTGGGGACTGGCAGGAAAGGGTCTTGGCCTTGAATGTGCCTGTAGCTGGGCCAAGGAGAGAAAAGGAAGAGACGAACTCCTCTGGGTTGGGGCGAAAGTCATGGGGCCCCCAGGTCTCATTCCTCACCCGCACCCTCACCCACTGACCAGGGAGGCGGGGCCGGGGTGGAGGCCGGGCGCGGGACTCAATGAAAACCTGCTGCCCCTGATGCTTCACCAGATGCACGTCCTTACAGATCTGCTGGAACGTCACCTGTGGGACAGAGCAGGCCAGCACTGGGGGCGTGTGACCAGTGTCAGAGGCCCAGGGCGCAGAGCAATGACAGGTGCTCAGCGGGCAGGGGTGCAGGGCACAGCGAGAGCGGGAGGAGAAGGAAAAGGCACCTGCCCAAGCTGATTCTGACAGCACCAGGGGAATGCCGGCCTAGGGGGCGAAGCGGAAGACGAACACTCACCGGCGCAGGAGGCCCAGGCCCCTCGGCATCACCCCCGTTGCTGTCACTGGAGGAGCCAGGGCTGAGGAGAGGGCCCGGGGAAGCGACGGCGCCCACTCCACAGAGCCCCGTGGGACTGGGGCTGTGCACGGGCTGAGGCAGGAGGAGAAGGGGTTAGGTGTCTCAGCCCTGCTCCCAGCCCTGCCTCCTCGCCAAGCCCCACCCCTCCACAGTCACCTGTAACAGCAGCCGGTGGATCTGCTCCGAGAGTTCCTGGATGTCCGAGTCCAGAGACAGAGCTGGGCTGGGGGCCGGTGGGGTGAACACATCCTCGTTCAGGGGTGCCCTGCAGGGTGGGGAAGGGGAAGCTGAGACCCGCCCCCTGCCGCACAGACCCAGCCCACACGGCCAGCTCTGGGGCAAGGCCCACTTACGTGCGGACTTTGTGGCGGCCCAAGACAAAGGCCACCTTGCGGCTCCAAGGATGCACGAAGCCGGCCCAGCTGGTGTCCATGGTGACATACTCGCCATTCCGGGCACAGAAGCGGATAGGGGAGTGGTCAAAGGGCTGGCCCGCCAGCTGCAGGACTGAGGGAGCGGGAAACGAGGGGGGGGTCAGCAGGAGGGAGAGCCGGGGAAAGCAGAGGGCCACGCCCTGAGGACCCAAGAGACCAAGGCCCCGAGAGGTACGACCACAAGCACAGCCATGGAGAAGCCCCACGGACAGCCAGGAAGGGAGAGCAGGAAAAAGAGGACTCACTCTTCTTGTGGATGGCCAGCATGAGGGGTCGGTCCTCAGGATGCAGGAACAGGAGCACTGGGGCCCCCAGGAGGTCCTGGGGGAGGTAGCCCAGCAGCGGGGCGGCCCTGAAAAGGGAGGTGGCATCAGAGTAGCCAAGGCCTCGGCCCCAGCCACCCCCATTTTTCCTCCAGGTCCTGAGCTCACCTTTCGTCCACATCCTGGAAGAGGCAGCTGGGTGTGTGCCGAGTGGTGAAGATCCTCTTGTCGGGGGGGATCCGGGGAGCTGAGCACAGCAAGTGTGGCCATTGGTTTTTTGTTTTTGGAGGGTTTTTTTTGGCCATTGGCTTTTATCCAGAATGGTCCAGCTTCTCTGCCCGCCCCCCCACACACACCATCTTGGGCCCAAGTGGGCTGGCAATCCTCCCCACGGCTCTGCCCAGGGCCGTCTAACCTACAGAGATGGTCTGGACCATTCTCCTACCCCACAGCAAGCATGAAACTGAGAATCAAAGCAGTCTCCTTTCCCCACTCCTAGTTCAGGGTGTTTATCCACTACTCCCTCTAAAAATGGGCTCAAACCTTCATCCTTTTTTGTTTCGTTCTTTTTTTAAAGATTTTATGTATTTATTTGACAAAGAGAGACACAGCGAGAGAGGGAACACAAGCAGGGGGCGTGGGAGAGGGAGAAGCAGGCTTCCCGCCGAGCAGAGAGCCCGATGTGGGGCTCGATGTGGGGCTCGATCCCAGGACCCTGGGATCATGACCTGAGCCAAAGGCAGACGCTTAATGACTGAGCCACCCAGGCGCCCCTCAAACCTTCATCCTTACCATACCTTCTCTGTTCCAAAATTCTTAAGGGCTGAGATATGCCTCCCAGACTCTCATCCTGCCTCTCCCCTAGCCTAGAGAAATCACCCTTCCTCCTACCGCCTGCCAGGCCAGGCCCGATGCCTACACACCTTCGTAACCCGAGTGGATGCGCTCTGCGATGAGCAGGCAGCATGGCTGTGCCGGGGCCCCATCCGAGACCCGGATCTTGGTCACGTATGGCGTGAGGCGGAATGGCTGGTACCGAGGCCCTGAATCCCGGTCAGGACCTCCTCTAGCAAGGGAGAGGAAGAGGCATTAGTGACTGGGTAGAGAGCCACCCACCCTGCACCTCAAGGTCACAACCCACACAGCAAAGAGGCAGGAGAGTGGAAGGTAGGAGGGGGTCTGCTCCCACTTCCCCCACCTACCTGATACGGCAGAAGACAGACTTCTCCTGGGTGAAGTCCTTGAGGCCTGAACCTAGAACAGACCAGAAAGGCACTAAGAACAGCCCCCCCACCCCACCCTGGGCTAAAAAGAACCTGGCGAGGAAAAGCTGGGGTCCCCTGGTCCCTCACAGCAGCAGCTTCCGGGGACTGCTTGGGGACCTCACCTGCTGAGGTCCCAGCGCCCCAGGTGGGCAGGCGAGACGGGGCAGTGGAACCATAGAAGACGCCCACATCCTGGGGAGCCAGGAGCTCTGAGAAGCGGGCCCCCCGGAACACATCCCGTTTGCAGCGGAGGAGGACACCCGCCTGCTCCGAAATGTAGACGATGCGGCCTGTCAGGAAGGAGACAGCCACGGAGAAGGTATCCTAGGCGGGAAAGCGGGGACAAAAGTCGAATCGGGAGCCGTGCGCGTGGGGGGCGGGGCTGCCTCGGGACCAGGAGGCCGGGCTGCGGCTGACCTGGTTGCGCAGCGTATACTCGGACGTGATGTGCTCCAGCTCCTCCAGGGTGTAGGTGGACATGTCCATGGCACAAGGTTCGCCCTCCTCCAGGCTCCACTGCTGGTAGTACTCCTGGTTGGCTGCAGGGTGAAGGCGGTGAGGCGCCTGCGGAGGAGCCTGCCCCACCGCCGCAGCCCAGGACCGGCCGGGCCGCCCCCGGAAGCACCACTCACCCTGCACCTGCTTGACACAGGCCAGAGCGTACTGGAGCGTGGCCAGGGTCCCAGAGCGGCCCTTGCCCCGGCGCTCGGGCGGCAGCCGAAGCTTGAGCTCCCGCAGAGCCGTCATGAGCTCCTTCTGGGTCCTCGCCCGGGCTGACTGTTCGCTGCTGCAGGGCCCACAGGGAGGGAGGGGGTAGAGCCATGAGCCCCAGATCGTGGCCCAGGCCCCCCAGCCTTGTCCTCTGGCCCTCAACCCCACGAACCTGCAGCCACTGGTAGACGGGTTGTCCTGTTCGGAGCTGGCACTCAGGAGGCTGTAGGCAATGGAACTGCTGGGTGGGGACGGACTCTGAGAGTTCGTGCTAGGGGAGAAGCAACGGGCCCAAGATGAGAAAGCGGCCAGCAGCATGGGCCTGTCCTGTAGCTCAGCCTGCTCCCAAGACTACTCCCGGACCCTGCACCACACATCCATACGCACCTCTTGCTGCTCTCAGTGGTCTCCAGCAGGGCTGAGTCCTTGCCATTGCCGGAAGAAGAGCTGTGTGAGCTCCTCTGAGATGCGCCGCGGGACTCGGGCCCATTAGATTCATTGCCGCTGGACCCATTGCTGTTGGCATCTGTGTCATCAGCCAGGCTGGGGCCAGGGCAAGACCGGCGCTGCGGAGGCCCAGGGGATGGGGCTCCTCCCGGGCAAAAGGTTTCCCCCGGCCCGGGGTCCCCTCCCCCATCAGCCCCTTCTAGAGGGCCACTCATGTCTGAGCCATGGGGAGGGCAGGAGGAAAACACGGACGGCGGAGAGGCCACCACGGGGGCACACAGGGGGCCGGGCGCCCTGGTTTGGGGGAGTGAGGTGGGAGATTCAAGCCTTTGAGGATTGAGAAGTTCGATCACGGGCAGTACCTGGACGGGGAGACCAAAGAAGGAGGGCTTGGAGAAGGGTGAGCTGTTAACTTTACAGCACCGGCCGGCTGCACTCAGACCTCCCCGTCTGACCCCACGCCCCTAGGACCCAGGCTTCCCACAGCGAGCCTGGGCAAGTTCTGTTTCCTATCCCGGGAGAGGGGCTGCAGGTGGGAAGGGGCCTCTCTTGGCCCTTCCTCCACGTCCCCTGCCAGCGTGGCCTGGGAAAAGAGAGACTGAGCAGACGAGAACCAGAGCCCGGGCGCTTCCCATCCCCAAATTCCCACCAGGCCCCCAATCCGCCCGGGACTCCAAGGCCGCGGAGCAGGGGGTATGCCCGGCACCGCCTATATTTAAGCCTTCAGGCTAATTTTATCCGGGGGCGGTGCCACCCCCGCTGCACATGCGCGGCCCCACCACGCGCTTCCGCCGCCGCCGCGGTCGCCAGGGAAACCGACGTCAGCAGCTGAGCTCAGCGGTTGCTGGAGGGACCACAGGAGGCCGGGAAGGGCGACCCCTCCCCCATTTCCCGACGGAGCCGAGGATCGACCCACTCCCACACCAGCGGGCGCGGACGCGGGTCGCCCACCTCTAATACACCCTCCGGCCCTGGAGGGCCCGGTGGCCGTATGAAGAAGGGCGACCCATCGGGTTTCCAGGGGCTGGCCTCGCTCCCCGGGGCAAAACACAACCGCCACCGCCCTCCGCGCAAAAGCTCCCCAGCCTGGCGCTCGCCTGGATCCCAGTCATTCTGGTCAAGACGACACAGCCTGTCCTTCTCCGGCCCCTGCACCCTCTCCCGACCCCCAGGTGCCAAGGCGGCACCTGCCATTGTCAGAGACTCGGGAATCCTCTTTCCTCAGTCCTCTACTTTTCTAGATCCCACCCCACCCCCATCCGAAGCGGACACACTCAGCTGTGAGCAAGGGACACACAACCGCCAGCGGATAGTTCTTCCCCTACTCCTCGTCCAACCACACACACCCCCCCGCCCAACCCCCGGAGCATTTTCTGAGCGCCAGTAGAAAAAGGAAGGCTGTGGCAACAGCAGGAACTAGCGCCGGGAACGGGATGTTCCAGCCTGAACCAGGCTTACATCACGGCCGGCGCGGGGCCAGGCACTGGAGGGGGGAGCGCGGGGAGCGCGGAAAGCCCGAAGGGGTCCTGGTGCCGGGGCAAAACCAGGGACCCCCGAGTGACAAGAAAGGCGGCGGGGGCCTGCCTGCCGAGGGTCGGGCGTTGGGCCGGGGGAGCTGGGAGGAGAGGTCAAGGCTGGAGGTAAGGTAAGCGGATCAGGAGTGCGGACAGCGGGTGCAGGGTTGCGAGCAACACCTACGTTCCCGACGGCAGAGCGGGGGTGGACAGCGGCAAGGAAGGCGGATTACCGGTGTGCCGTCAGAGCGCCAGGGCCCAGAGCGGCGCCTCAGGCTGGAAGTGGCGGCGGTCCGACTTGGGGCGGGAGACCGGTCCCCGGGTGGCCCTGGAGATGCCTACCTGGCCGCGCGAGCGCCCTCCGGCCGCCGGCCCGCCGCCGTTGCAGCCCTCAGCCGAGTGGAAGCTTCGCGGGGCCAGGAGGCGGGTTGCATAATGCCAGGCACTGCCCCTCATTGGCCTCCTGCCGGCGGAGCCGCAGGCCCCGCCCCCGATTGGCTGGGGGATCCCGGGCCGGCCCCTGATTGGCTACTGGCCCCTACTGAGGTCAGGGCTGTGTCACACACACGGGCGCACGTGGACCTGGGTGCTGGCGCTGGGCTGAAGGGCCCCAGACACCACCACGCAGCCAACGGGCGCAGGACGCCTTGCACAGTGAATAATGGGAGGGCGGAGAGGGGAGATAAGCTGCCCTTCTTCGGGCAAAATGCCGGGGCCACGGTAGGTGCTTAAGAGAGGTCTACTTCCCGGACCGTCAGCCCTACAGAACAGAACACCTTGGCCTTGCCCCAGGTGGGGGAAAGGAATGCTGACCCTTGGGGGGTGGGCCAGGTTGGATGAGATGGCTGGTCCCTTGGGAGGACGGGGACACACAAAGAAACCCAGCCTGGCCTCTCCTGGGTTCCTCGCCCCAGCCTTGTCATCACAATAAAGCCATTTTATCCAGCCCCTTCCTCTAACACTTCAAATCCTGTGGACAGCCAGGACGATGGCAATTGAGGATCCCCGCGTGACAGGGGGTGGAGTGCAGGGGAGGATGCAGACAACAGAAGGGGCAGCCAGGGCCAATAAGGGCTGTGAAGGGAAACAATGCTAGGTGCTTCTGTACCCAATCAGAGAAAATGTCTCCGGGCAGCCTACGCGGTGACTAGCGCTGCTTCGCTCCTGAAGATGCGGCCACCCACACTTAGGGCCGCCCCAAAAGTGGGGGCCAGGAAGCCAGGACTACAGGGGGAACCTAGGGGGTGGCTGAGGGAAGAGACCAACTGGGACCCTGGAGAGACAGGTGGGGTGGCAAGGGCTTCAGATCCCCAGCCCTAGGACAAGAGAAAGCCGAGGACCTCATCTGTCACCTCACTGCATTTCTCAGTCCCCAGGACAGAACCTGACACACCGTGGGTGATCAGTAAATACGGTGATTTTGTTGTTAACAAGGATAGATAAGGGAGGGGAAGGGGCCTCAGCCATGGAGAAGGTGCTGGAAATTATACTTATTGTAAAGGGGAGGGGAGCAGAACCCTGAGTCCTAATTGGGGGAAATACAGTGCCCGGCTGAGCTGGGGGGGAACTGCAGTGACACAGACCCCTCCATCTAAGAGGGCTGTGAGCAGTTTCTCTCAGGGCTCCCCGATAACGTGGGTGGCGAGTGAAGAGGCCTCCAAGCTGATGCTGACATAATCAGCTGTGGGTGCACTCCCTCACTGTCACGTGGCCTAAGCTTTCCTTAACAATGGTGTTCCCCGTGGAGGGGCCCGGGGGGAGGGATCTGTGGAAAAGCTGGGGCACAGGGATGTCATAAAATAACCCAGAAAAAAACCAAAGCAAGAAAACACAGGAAACAAAGGATTCAGGAGCCTGGATTCTCAGTCTCATCTCCTTGGAAATGGCCCCCCAACTCATAGACTGTGGCCCCCTCCCTTGTCTCATTTTCAGACCCCTCTCCTCTGGAAACAGGGTTTTTCTTCCTCCCGGGTTCTCCTCTGGGGTCTAGGTGTGATCTCCGCGGACACAGGCAGTCCGTGCTCTCTCACCCCCCACCTCTAGGTCTGTGCTTTGCATAGACAAAGGGGTCGAGCGCTCCTGCAGCGCCCACCTGCTCTCAAGGCCCCGGCTGTCCTCCTGCCTCACAGTCCCCACAGTAACCAGGCCCTGCTGCCGTCAATGGAGGCGAGGGGGCGGGAGGGAGCGGTGACGTCAAAGCGGAGGAAGAGGGCGGAGCAAGGCAGCCGGGGAATGTGGGACAGGGAGGCTGGAGAGGCAGCGGTTTGGGAGGCGGCCAGCCGGAGAGGGCGGCGACCAGCGCACTTGGGAACATCATGTACTCTTGGCTGGTGGCCCAGGACATGCACCCAGACTGGGCGCCTCCCCCAACCAAAGACAGCCGTCCTGTCCTAAAGCCAGGGATTCCTGGAGAGAGGATTAGGAGGAAGGGGTCCCCCGCCACCGCGCCTGGCTCTCTTCTCCAGATTCGCATCCGCCCTCCCCTCGGCTTGCTCCTGCAGCTCCTGGCACTGGCTTCCCCCTTCTCCCAAACTGTACACATCTGCTGGCCCAATCCCAAAGAGCTGGGGCGGGGACGCTGGAGGCCCAGGTTCTGCGAGAGAACACGCACCTTTGCTCCTTCCCAGAGGCCCCCTCAGAGCTGGAATCTCCTGTTACTATGGCAGCAGAGAGATGGAGGAGGGGCAGGGAGAAGAATGGGTGTAGGACGAGGAAATCGAACTGGGACAGAGCAAGTGGCACAGCCCGGGGCCTGGATCCTGGGAGAGGAATGAAAGGGTGGAATGAGGTTTTGGGCTGGTGCCTGACGACCAGAAGGCCCAGGAAGAGGGAAATGAGGAGGGAGTCACCGAAACTTGCAGCAACACTTGAGAATGTGAGACTAGTTCCCGACCACAGCACTCCTGTCACTGTTGTTTTGAGATCCTATAGCCACTTTTTTTTTTTTTTAGCTAAAAGCAAAACAAAACAAAAAACATTAAACCATAACCCAGGCATTGCGCTAAGCACCACATATATATATATTATCTTATTTAATCCCCAGAACAACCCTGGGAGATGGGTATTACCCCAATTCCACAGAACCAACGAAGGCTCAGAAGTCACTACATTTGCCTCACAATGTGTTCTTGGCTCTTAACAAGTGGAGCCCAGGGTTCAAATCTGAGCGCTGATCATGGCTTGTCATTCCGGCGTCTTACCGTTCGGGCGGGCACCTGTGCGGTGATTCCCAGCACTGGAGGATGGGCGCCTCTCAAATATCCAGCCCATTCTAAGTTTGGTGCCCGGAACACAGATCCATCCAGCCCCTCCTCTCCCTGGGCCTGGTCTCTGACGTCCAGTCTGCACTCCCCACACGCTCGCCCCGAATCATCTCAGCCCCAGTCTTCACACGCTCACAAAGTCCTTGAGATCACCCCAGCAGCCACCAGCCCCGGGGGCTTCCTAGGGGCCCCACCTGCTCACTCTTCACCGTACCCCCGGTCACTTTGCCACAGGCCTGGGTGTCTGTACAGAGAGCAGAGCTCTACCGAGAGGTTGGTGCCTTCTGGCGTCCAGGGGCTCAGGAAGACACGTGCACAGACAGTCCGCACAACCCTTCGGTCCCTCTCAGGACAGTGGCTACTCCACCTTTACTCCCAGGGATGGCTCCGAGGCTCAACCCCTCCCCTTTACACCCGAGAGAGACATCCAGAGCCATGATGCGACGGGCTCAGGGTCACACACATCATCTCACCACCCTTTCTCGAATCACCATGTCAACCCTTTCGTACCCTCCCACCTGCCCTATCAGGGCCTCCCTCCAGCCTCAGAACACCTGAATCTTTTAAGTGCTTAAGGAGCCTACCCAAACAGTAGCCAAGCACTGGAATGTCCCCCACCCACTCTCAGGGACCGCGTCCCCACACCGCCCCGGGAGCAGGGGTCTCAGCTCCCTCGGGGAGCTGACGACTTCCAAGCCCCACCCTCCCAGGACTCCTGGGCCAAACAGGGGGGTGGGGGTCCAGGCACCTAGGGCAGCGAGGAATCTGTCAGATGTCGGAGACTCCCGCCCTCGTCCCTCTGGGTCCCATTTCCCACGACCCTCAAAGCTCCCACCGCGGCGATCTTGCATTGGCACGATCCCCCCGCCCCACTCCATTAACACCGCCTGGGACAGGACACACCACTCCGGAGAAGCGCACACGGGTTTCCGCCGGTCTCCGCCCACCCGCGAACACTCACCTTCGGCGCGCACGCACCGGCCACAGCTTCTTCCCCAGCGGGACCGCGGCGCCCGGACAAGCTCCTCCAGGCCCGCCCACCCGCCGCGCGGCCACGCCCCTCAAGCTTATTGGCCCGGGGGCCCCGACCCATGCCCCTTGCCGCGTGCGGCCGCCCGGCCCCCGCGCCGCCGCCATTGGCGCCGGCGGCCGCCGTCATCTTCTCATTGGTCAGTCTGCCCACCCGCAGTGACAGCTCCACGTGCGAGAGGGGCCGCCCCGGCGCGTTGATTGGGAGTCTGGCCGAAAGTCACGCCCCCACCCACTTCGGAGGTTCTTATTGGCTGTGGCACGAGCCTCCGACCGGCCCGAATCCGGGACGCGAATGCCAGTCCAGCCCTTCAGAGTTTCTCATAGGCTGGGAGGTCTCGGAGCTGTAGAGGACACGTGCCGGCGGTCTCACGCGGCAACTTGTTTACCTGGAAGCTGGGGATTTTCCTTGACGACACTCTTACCAGAGACTGCGGAGTCTGCGCAGGCGCAGCGAGGGTGACCTGCACGCAGGCGCAGATGTGAGCGGCGGTGGCGTTGGTTGGGGGAGTTTTGTGCCGAGACCCGGGCAAGCTGTCCTGGGCGTGACCAGAGCGCCCCCCGCACTGAGTCTCCGGCCCCGGGCCCCTAAAGCCCCGCGAAGCTGGAAGGGGCCGGCATTAACGGTGGAGCGGTCTTCAGATCCCAGCGCCGCGCGAGGACGATGATGATCACGGTGATGACGGCTGCCTCCGGCTGGTTCTCTGTGGACCAAGCCAGGCGCTTCTCCCAAGCCGGGAGGCCGTCTCACTACTACTCCGCCCCACAGAGACTGGGCTCCAGAGAGGTTACATAAGCTTGTCTGGATTAACACTCCAGTCAGTAATGGGGCCAAGATTTAAACCCAGGCCCCCGACACGATGATAGAGAGGGCGGGCCCGAGGGCGTTCGGGAACCTCAGTAGATGAAGCGCGAGGCACGTAGTGAGCCCTCGGTAAATGGGGGACATTATTATGAGGACGGCGTACCCTTTTGTAAAAGCACCCTTGGCAGTTCGGGAAACACTACGTAGGATTCACCTCCTGCTGCGGCCCGGGAAGTCGGGCTTCCAGGGCTCATCCAGCACTCCACTGACTGCTGCAGCACCTGGGGTCGGGGGTGCTAGGGGTGCCACGTTGGGGACGTCACCAGCCGGGAGGCCAAGGGACTTCAGCGTGGGGTCAAGAGTCACCAGCCCTACAACAGGGTGCAGGCCTAGCAGGCCAGTCTATGGCCGGGTCTCCCTGAGCCCATCTGCTCTGTATTTATTAACCCCTTCGGGATGCTGCCACTGCGAGAGGAACCCAGGGGGAAGAGACGTTTCGCACAAGTCGGCCATCTACTTCAGGCCTAGGAGTAAATGACCACGGGAGCGACTGCGGAGCATCTGGGAATTAAATCAAGGGTTGGAGAGGGATCCAAGAGAGCGGGAGCATGCCTCCAGGCCCAAGCCTCGAGGCTCACCAGGCTGACACAGGGATCAAGAACAACTTCCTCTTATCAGCGCCGGGCGCCCACCCGTGGCCACTTTGGGAATCACACTTTGCTCTGCCCAAGGTCAGGCCCTCCAGCAAAGCTCAGTCCATTCCAAATGTACCTTCTCAACTTTCCCGTTTCACCTGCAGATCCTATACCCTTTCCACTGGTTAAGAAAAGGTGTTAGAACACACACCAGCTGGTTACTCATTACACATTTATTGTACATTTTCACAATCTGGATGCGTCACAGAATTGGGGGCATGGGGGGAGGGAAGGGGGGGCAGGGGACACTGGGATAATATGGGGGGGTCTAGAACACAGCACCCCCACCCCCAGCATCTCTCCCTACCCTTTCACACCACAGCTTAGATCTCCCTGCTCCCCCTCCACACAGAAACCTTGAGTGTGGGGGGAAGAGTTTGGGGGGTCCCCTCCAGCAGGTTAGGGACTGCACCCTCAGACCCCTAAAATTGTGCCATTTAAAAAGACATGAGACCCTCTATCACTTCACCTAAGGAGGAGACAACTCTCTGGGCTCAACTGCCCTGGAGAGGGGCAAGAATCCCCATCTTCCAGCAAGTCCCATACACACATTGGCAGTGACTAGTACCCCCGCCCTGAATTCAGGGGGGCAGTCAGAGGAGCTGGGCAGTGATGGGAGCAACACCCCCACAAACCGGGGAGGGGAGTTTTCGGTCCAAACCCCAGCAAGGGTGGGGCCAGATTTCAGGCAGGAATTGGGGGGATTCTCTGCCCTGCCCCACTCCTCCCCAAGGCAGTGATGACCCCCCACACACTGGCAGCCATCTCCCCCAAAAGAGTCAGATTGTGGCCAACCCCCAAACTCTCCTGGTGGGAGGAGGAGGAGGCAGATCAGGCGGATGGGAGGGAGGGAGACCCCATGGGAATGTCGGTTGAGTGCCCCACATGAAAACTGGGGAGCAGGAATGTGGGGAGAGACTCCAAGTGGCAAAACTATTGGTCCATCATGACACACTGAACTCCAAGACACTTATACACCAGCTGGGGGGAGGGGGAGGAGGGGACAAGAGGTTTGGAAAATGGGGGTAGGAAGGCAAACCAGACTAGAGGGGCTAGGAGGGGGTGATTCTGGGGGCCAGAAGAGCCTGGCTCCCCAAAAGCCCAGGCTCCCACCACCTGCAAGTAATGTCATGCAAATGAAAGACTGATACAAGGACCATAGGGACTAACTCCTCAGTAAAAAAGAAACATGGGTTTAAAGAATGAAGAGCAATGGAACAAAAAAGGAGGAAACCAAAAGGGATGTCAGTATGTAAATGAATGCTAATTAACATGCTGGAAGCTCCCAGAAGACCTTGGGATTCTTAGGACCAAGTGGGGCCAGTCTCAGGGCCTCCCAAAGATGCAAAGAAGATGCACCGTGGGAGGTCTGGACAGTTGCTTTTCGTGGGTTTTTTGGTGTTTTTTTTTAATAGGGAGTGGAGGTACAGGGAAGGCCAGGGTGGGAGGAAGGATCAGCTAAATCCAAGGGAAGGAAGAGAGGAAGAGGGACTATTGCATAGCAGATGCAAATGAAGGGATTCAGGGCTGATCAGGAAGAGAGGGAAGGGGAAGGAGGAAAAGAGAGAAGAAATGGCAACCTCAGGAAGGGGTGTTAAGGACAACCGGAAAAATCTTCTAGTAATAAAACTACAAACAGACCAAATATATATAATATTATATATGTATAAATAACAGCTGGCTATTTACAGGGGGGCACACACACGGGGGGACACACACACACGGATCCAGGGGAGGGGGGCTGGAAGATATGGCTGAGAGGTGGAGGAGCGGCTGGGGATGGGGGGGAGGTGGGGAGAGGCCCTTCTCTGGGCAGGGCGGGCTCCTCAGGGGTTTAAGAGCTGAAGTAAACTGTAGAGAGGGAAAGAGAAGGACGAAGAGAGAGAGGGGAGAAAGAAAGAGAGAGAAAGCAGTGTGTCAGGCCTGGCCCTGCTCCCATCCTCCCCACTCCCCAGCCCTCTCAGCCTTAGGTTCTCCATCTGTAAAGCAAGGGGCTGGACTGGTAGGTTCCAAAGTCTCTACAACTCCACGGTATGGCCTTGGGGCCACAGACTCCTAATCCTCTGGGCTCTCTGGGCCCACAAGTTCTCAAATAGTAGGGTGTTTGGCTTCCGAGCCATGTCTCAAGCCCCTGGGCCTTGCCTGCTCTCCCACTTCCCAATTCCAGGGTTCCCGGACTAGGTTTAGGCCCAAAAAGGATCCTCAAGGGAGCAGTGGGGATCTACCAGCTTTCCTGTTTCCAAAAATCTTAACAAAAGTTGCCTACAACCAGGCAAAGTGCAGGCTAAAGAACAGCAAGGTCTGGGGCTCTAGATGAATCAGAGCTGCACTGGCAGCTATATATGCTTTTTGCTGAATAGTTAAAAACTAGGTTAATGACCTTCAAAACCTAGAAGGGGAAACCTCTCCAGAGAAAGGGCCCTAGCCACTCCTGCCCTACTCACCGATGATGATGATGAGGATGATGGCGCAAATCACTCCCAAGATGATCATCATCTGGGGGCGAGAGCGGGAGGGGGGGTCAGTGACAAAGACCATGACACTCCCATTCACCCATCAGTTAGTTCTCACACCAGCCCTCTTGCATGCCTCCACCCTTACCTTGAGGTTTTTCCACCAGTATTTGCGCTTGAGCTTGGCTGCACTTGTTTCAAACTGGGAGGCCCCTGCCTGGAGTGCATCTGCACGGTCGTCCAGCTCTGACAGCTTCTGGTCCCGCTCCAGGACCTTGTCCACGTTCACCCTCATGATGTCCACCACCTGGGGGAGGGGTCCACGAGGCAGGGGGTGTGCCAAGGCCGCCTCAATGAGGGCACTCCTCAACCATGCACCCACAGAGGGAACATGCACCCCGATGTTGCCAGGCTAACATGCCAAGGACACACAGAGAACATGCCTAACACACCTGGGGACATGCAAGGAGCACACATCAGAGGCATGCTGACAGTCAGACATCTCGGATGTCAGAGCAGCACCCTCTGTGTACTGAGCCTCAAGCAGCCTGTCCATCACCCGACCACACCTGCCGGGACTGAACCGCCCCAGGCTATCAAGGCTGACTAACACCCCAGCGCCGTTCCAAATGCAAGCTGAACAGGGAAGGGGCAGGGTATGTCTTTGTCCGCAAACTCATAAACTCATCACCTCCAACCCACGATGGGCCCCCCCGCCGGTTTGCCAACCCCCAGGGTCCTTCCCACTGCCTCGGCCTGGGTCTGCTGCAGTCTCCTGTTACTGGTGAGGTTTGGAGGGGGCGCAGGGGGGCCCCCCTCCCCAGCCGGGGCGGCAGGGGGGGCGGTGGCAGCGGTAGCCGACCTGAGGGGCAGGGTCGGATTAAGACCCGAGGCCTGGAGCCGCCGACCCCGCAGCCAGGGCTCCGCCCATCCTCCTGTCCATCCCTCCGTCCCTCCCTTTCTCCTTCCCCGGAGGAAGGCCACCCGATGGGAGCCCTGGACTCCGTCCGGCCCCGCCGCCGCTTAGCTGCGTGACCTTGAATCAGACCCCCTCCCCCCTCCGGGCCTCAGTTTCCCCGCCCGTCAAAGAAGGGCGACCTCAAAGACAAGGTCCGGGGTCGACCCGAAATGACAGGCGGCGGCGAGGCCAGGGGCCGGAGGACGCGGGGCCCGCTCCCTCCCGCGGCCACC